TTTTTTTGCGTTTTTCAATATGAATTCAATTCATTATTTTAGTTTCATGTGCATTTGCTTCACCATTTTATTATCATTATGGTGTTGATGAATATCAAGTGTGTGCATTATTAACAGATGAAAATTTACAAAAACATTTTCGAATTTATACTGTTACACTTTATTATTTTATTCCATTAACAATTATTCTTATATGTTATACTAGATTACTTTATTATGTTTATTCGAAAGAAAAAAATGTTAAACCAAAATCGGTAAAATTCCAAATTTTATTTTATAATAAATTCGACTCTATTCTTTTTTTTTGTCTAAATAGAAATCTAACGTTGTTAAATGGTCAAAGAAACGTCGTGCTGTAACAAAAATGGTTGCTATTGTTACATTAGTATTTTCGATTTGTTGGTTACCTATAACATTATTTATAGTTTCATCATACGTTTTTGAACGTAAAACAGCGTTGTTATATTATTTCAAAGTTATTGGAAATTCATTTGCATATTTAAATTCAGCTGTTAATCCAATAATATATGCATTTTTAAATCGAAGTTTTCGTAATAATTGTGGAAGTATTCTTACTAAACCTACTTGTTCATTATTTTGTCGGAAGAATTATCAAAAACAAGAACAAAATAATAATCATCAATTAACAAATTTCTTTTCAACAGATAGAAAAGATGTTATAATTGATAATAATATTCAATTAATACCACATAATGATTCAAATGATGATTTTTCCGATGGTGAATACGAAGCAGTTGAACCAGATTGTTCTGCTCGATTAGTTGTCAATAGACAAAGTCATTTAAATGATTTCTGTGATCAACAATATGGAGTGTTATTAATTCATAATGGAATCAATGATGATCGACCTTTTGTAACAAATCTCTAAAAGAGAATTGAGATGAATATATTTTATTTTTTTTTGTCTATAGTTTTTTAATCAAGATTAACTTGTTTATTAAATATTTTTGACATTTCCATATATTCTTTAAAATAATGACTTATTTGAAGTAACAAAATGTCTATGCAGATTAAACCATGTCGCATCATTGAATTCATGTATGAGATATTTAAATATATGAAAAGAATTTTTTTCTTTAATAAGATTACAATATAAATCCATACATCAACTTTTCAGAATACCTATAGAAGATATTAAGCTTGTTTTTAAGAATAGATTTTCTTTTGATAATTATACTGTATGACAATATTAACATTTAATGACTTCTTCATACAAAGACTGATACTACATTGATGATAGGATGCGTTCAGAATATTTTCTTTGAACTCTTAGTTCGATATAATGTAAAACAGATCATTGAAGACTGGTTCAAAGAGGTCATTTATATAATGCTTGAAAGAATATCAATAAAAGAAAAAGATCTATAGAAAATATTCCTATTAATATTAATGTAGTTGATGAATGCAAAAATCATCAAGTATAAAAAATATGAATTTATATTGATATTCATCGAAGATGTTTTGCTATTTATAGTTGTAATTATTTTATTTCTCATATTTTAATTCCAGAAGAATTAAACTGATATTTTTTGAATGGTATGATATTCACATGATTATCACTTTATTAATAGCAAATTTATGTTGTGACACAATCGAACTGTCATTTACAGTCTGGTGAAAATATAAAAAAAACATTAAATGTCACTAATATTCTTATTTAGTTCTTCATATACACGTTTTAGTTATTACTAATAATAATAAACGATAACAATTTGACCTTTATATATGTTTTGTAAAAACACTGAAATCTAAGAATGTACCGATTCACATAAAAACTTCTTGCCTGGAACAATATCAATCCATAATGTTTTTATCTTCTATTGGCGAAAACATTTAATATATAAGCAGAGTATATGTTTTTTATTGCTTGAAGTCAAATAATCAATTTGTAGAAAAACTAGTTTATATATTAAATGATTTTAGATGGAAGAAAAATTGTAAAAACCAGGTACTTTCTCTTGTTATTCTAACTATTAATAGTAGAAAAATCTCTATTAAAACCAATGATTAAACTCAAAAGATTGCAGTATGTTGAAACTCTAGTAATAAACAAAATGAAATAAAACCAAAGGTTTGTTGTTGTTACAAAGTTTCTTCTAAATATGAATGTATTATTTAAAAAATAAATATTCCCATGTAAAGTTTGATATGTCTATAATAGTCTATTTTTCTGTGGTATATAATTACAGAAGCTCAATAAATGTGATTATACTAATTACATATATGTTTACTTTTAAAGATTATATAAAATTTGATAAAGTTTTAAGCAAAGACATAGAACGTATAGACAATAATAGAAATCGCTGCAATGTATCTCCATATCAATGTACAAAAACAGGTCATGCTGGTAAACAGCGATCTTCAATGCTTCACAGTGCGCTTCGATTATTGGTATATCATATTTTCATAGATTTTGAATAAAGCAAAAATGTTTTTTTTATGTAGTCTGAATTAGGTAATTCTCATCGACGTGGTCATAAATTACATCTATAGAATTTTATATATGGTTTTAGAATTGCTCAACAAATTATTGATTTATTCCTAACAGTAAAAAAATCATATCTACTAGAAAATTTCTTAGAGTATAAAAATACAGTAATCTATAAGTATGCTTGCTGTAAATGTAAGTTTTCCTTTATTCTCTGCATCTAAATACAGATTTTATACTATTTTATAAGTTTGTCCTGTACATGTTTATATGTTATGAAAATTTTAATTTTAATATAATTCAATCCTTATTAACAACTTGATAATATGATACCTGATTATTTTTTTTTTGTATGTATGTGTATGTTCTCCTTTTATCATACTATGTTTTAAAATGTTTTCAAGTCTTTAACAATTTGTACAAGGTTATATTCTTGAAAATGACTTTTTAACTAGATCGAAATATCGAAAATAATTTTCTCAATAAGATAAATAAAATCTAATTTATTTAAAAAATAATAATGACATTTTGTGCCCCTATCATTTACAATTTTTTATTGAATGTAAATAATATAAACTTTGTCAATGTAGATTACTAACTTTTTTTAAAATTAAAATACCTTTTAATTAGCATATAATTCAACAGCTTATTATTACATCTTAACTCTAGATTATATCAATAGTTGTTTCGACATAAAGAGACTATGAGAACACTATCAAAACTCTTAAAATCTAAGTATATATATATAGTTAAAACCTATGTATACATTTGAAGAATCTATCAAATATACATCGATAATTATAGATATTCATTTACATTAATTTATTTATTACAGTATTATTTTTAAAAAATCATTTTAAGAGAATTATCGATTTCTAGTAAATGCAAAATTATTATATTCACTGAGTATTTTGCTGGTATTCACTAGTTTGATATCTTTTGTATGTATCCTTCGTTTTCGTCATGCATGAGCTACTTTCATAATATTGATCAATCTAAACAACCCATTGGTAGATCTGTAAACATAGGTATCAATGAAAAGGTAATCAAAAATTATATCTTTACAAAGCTATATTATAATATCATGATTGTTTTTGTGTGTAGAATAATGTTAATATAAACAACAAGCGTATGCTTTGTTTTTATGGAGGGAATAAACGACCATTATATTTTAACGATCGTGAAGATGAGTCATTTCTTTTTTATGTCTATTTTTTGTATCTGTTTGCGCACCTTGCTTCGTATTGAGAAAGAAAAATCGATATATTTTCGTTATGCTTTCTTTCTCCACTGCCTTCTTCGTGACTATATAAGAGTTAAATTATTCTTGCGAAATTAATACTACTAAACAATAATTATTTTCTCTCATTCGATACAAACGACGACAATGGTTAATAACAAGACGCTGGTGTATATCATGACTTTATTGATCTTATGTTCAATCATCTGCAAAGCCCGCTTCATCGATGACTTTGATGAAGATGCATCGGTCGATAGTGGCGAGCTGCTTATTAGGAAATTTCTCCAGAGAGCTCTTACAAAGTCTCGTTGTTTTGGCTCTGGCAATAAGTGTACCACCGGCGCTGAATGTTGTTCCGGTCAGTGTCGTTCTCCTCCTTCTACTGGTTTTTATTCCTCTGGTAATAAATGTGTTGCTAAACCAAAGTAATACAAATATTCTCCTAAAAACTATTTATTTATTCATTTAAAATTTTTGTTTTCTTCCTAATAAAAATGAGTTGCACTTATTAACATATAAAATATAGAACATTAACATTTTTTAATTATTTAGTTAGTTTCACATATTTCATCTACCATTTTCTTTTTTTATATCTTCTTTTTTATTTTTCAATAAACAAAACTAGTTAAAAATACCTGTTATTTTTTGTTTTTTTAAATAACACAAAATGTCATCAAAGAACAACAGACGAAATAAATCTTCTAATACACTACAAACTAGAATACTAGTTATAAGAGTACAATAAAGAATATTCCAGAGTTGCTCATATGAATTCACCAAAGAATTTTTAGCTCTTTGAAAATAATATATTTGAAATATTGAGAATAATAAATTTGATTTTTCAATTAGAAAATCGAAAATGAATTTATTAAAATATTTCTAGAATTTGGAGTTTATTTAGCAATTTCAGTATTTTTTAAAAACTTAAAATACAGTTTGATTTAATTTCAATTCAGCTCATACAAATGCATTTAAATAAATAAATAGTTCTAATATTGAAAAAATATATTTTATCGAATTACTGAATAAAAAAATACAATAATCTATATCTCTCTGTTTTTTCTATGTCTCCTAAAAAGTGAAGATATGAATGAACGTTTGCATTTCGAATTGTTTCGATTTCGGTCGGAACGTCAGAAAGCTTTTAATACAAATAATTCGTTCATGAAAATATCATTAAATTAATTTTTTCTCAACTTTTGGTTTTTATTGGATAAAAAAGAAAGAACGAACAGTTTTAACATATGAAATAGACAAAAGAAAAACTACTTACAATAAACAAATTACTCTTCTTTTATAATATGATAAAGAACACAAAAGAAATAAACGTTCAAGGAATTTCGACAATCATAAACTAATGTTCTGGAAGTGCTTTTAAACTTGACTAAAAAATACATCCATAATAGTTTAACGAATGATTAACGACTAGACAACAAAAAAAACACAATGTAGAATTTAAGAGTAAATACGACGTAAAATAGTTTGTTTTTCAATGTAAGCATTATGTAAACCGGTTACAAATTCTTCATCATTCTATAAAACACAAGAAATAAAAGTATTTTTCTTATAGATAAATAAAATGTACTTACTTGAAGTATGTCAACTAGTAATTGTCGAAGATTATCTTTAGAAAACTGATTCACAGATGGAGATTGTTGTTGTTCACAATGATTACAGGATAAAGACTCATTTTGTGTAGAAGTAGTTAGAACTAAATTTGTATAAAATTCAAATCTTTAGTCATAGTTATTTGTTCTGGTATACTATTGAGTTATAAAGAAATATAAGAGTGCATCCTGATCGATATGATCCTATTAGGAAGATTATCATTGTTCATTGACAAAATTATATCAAAACTAAAGAATCTATATTGTCATGTGACATATAATATATTAATATTGTCTTGATAAATAGAAATTCACGCATGAATAATTAACCAAAACGAAAGTAAACAGCTGATAGTTATGAATTATCTTTTTCATCATTGAATTAATTGAACGAACAATATATATAAGCTATAGTTTAACTGAATTGTTCATCAGACTCAATGAATATTACTGGAAACAGAAAATATTAACTGTCTTTGATATTTCTATTGAGACTTTGCTCTTTTAGAAAGTCAATCAAAAATTGTAATGTATAGAATAAGTTTAGATGCTAAACATAGTTTGTTCAATTATAGTCCAAATTTACTGTAAAAATTCATATCAGTTGATTGCGTCTGAATTGTAATAGATTTGTGACGAACGGGATAGTTTTAAAAGATTTTTTGAAATTATTTCTCTAACAGAAATTACCTGGTGACTGTGTGATTTGTAATGCTTGAAAGTCTGCTGGTCTCATTAATCGATTGCTAGTCGTAGGAATTGTATCATGCTATAAGTATACAATTATAAATAATCTTTATCTATTATTCAATAAAAACAATTTACTCCATAAAAAGGATTCGAATTTAATGAAATGGAATGTGAATGTGTTGCTATATGAGGTGATAACGATTGTGGTGGAGTTTGTATTTGACTCTGAATTATAATACTAGATAAGTATAAAAAATGATATTTATAATACTTTCGTTGCAATTGGTATAGACTTCACAATAATATCATTATTACTAACAGGTTTTGTTGTCTCTTGAGAAGATGATGATGGTTGAAGTAATTGTTTTTCTAATTCTGTTACACTTAATGCTGATTTTCCTGGTATACCTAATGTTTTTTTTAATTCTTCTCCACGTTCTTCACTATTCATAGTCATTTGTGTAGATGTTTCTTGTGTTGAAAATAATCGTAAAAGGACAGCAGGCATTGCTGCTGATATTTCACTGTTATTTGTATCTTGTTTACGTTTCTAATATCAAATAAAAATTAACAGAAAAAAAAGAAACAATGAAATTATCATTTATTTTTATCAATTTACAGTTTCTTCAAATTTATCTTGAGCATTGTTTAATAATGATATAATATCACTTGATTTTTGTAACACTGGTAAAGGACGATTTTGATTAGGTTTTGATTGTTCATATTCTTTTGCTTTTTGTGTTAAACTTAAAATATATAAATTAGATTTTAAATTTAATAAAGAAAATTTTATTTACTGTTTTAAACATTCAGTTACACGAGGGCAATCATTTTTTGAAATAAACCATATTCCATAAATATCTGCAGAAGCAAAAAAAAGATTAATAAGAGACGATTTTGTTTTTTCGAAAAATTCTTTACCTCCAACATCAACTTTATATTGAAGAAATGCTTCATAAGTAGGTGTATGTTTAAATTCCATCGTTGGTTTTATAATTTGTACAAATGTTTCACGTGATACTGTACTTAATATTACAAAACCATGAAAAGGTTCACACATTCTTAATAAAATATATAAATTTTAATTAGATTTAAAAAGTAATTTTTTATTTTATTTACCTTTCATAAACAAATAATGTTCCTTCAAGTTCTTTACGTTCCTAAAAATGATAAAAAATTAATAATATGTATATATATGCATTTATATTCTTTTCTTTTACCCATTCACGTTTTTCAGCTATGAATTTATAAACACAAACACGTTGAGCTTGATCAACAATTTTTGATATATATGGATCACGATTTTGTAATGCTTGTAAATTAATACGATTTAATTGATCTTCTTCATTATTATCATTGGAAGTATTTGATATAGAAATATTTGTTACACGAGTAGTATTTGTTGATGATGTAATCGTTGTTGCCATCTCAAAAATTTAATTCGAATATTAATCGATTGAAATTTATGAATCAGTAATTGTGAAAATATATTTTTTAGTGAGAAAAGAATACAAACTAATGGCAATTTATGGTTAAATAAATATGGGTAAAACATGGATTGTCTATGTGTATTTGTTTATTAGTATTATCTTCAACGTGCTGTTTGTATCATAAATATTCTCACTCCAAATTATTTTAGATTTTTACAATATATTTTGCTATATCATGTCAACTACTAATAAATCTGACGAAGCTGTTACAAAAAATCGTCATGCAGCACCGCCTCAAACAAATAAATCATTAGAAAATTCCAAAGACAATCAAGCTGCAACCACACTACCATTAGATGTATATCATATAGTTCGTGATCTTGTTTTATTCTTTTGTCGTCGTATTATATTTGGACCACCAAGATTTAAATTACTTGTTTCATTTGCTATTATTCTAATTGGTTCTATTTTAAAATCACTTGATTTAGCACCAACATCTTATTTTTCATTAAAACATAATATATTCAATAGATATTTTGCTAAATTAGGTTGGGCATGGACAATTGGTTTATTATTTCCATTTATTTATTTAACTTTAATGACAACACATAATAATTATCAAATTGTAACACGTCATTTAGTTCGTTTACTTGTTGCAACTGGTGTTTGGTATATAATAACATACATGTTTGTTAGTTTCGAAGCATATACAGGCATGTGTAAACATGAAAAAATGCGAGGAGCTTCAAGAAAAATTTGTGTTGGTGGTGGATATGAATGGCAAGAAGGACATGACTTTAGTGGACATACATTTTTACTTCTCTATTCACTTTTAATAATCAATGAAGAAGTTAAATCATATGATAAAGGTACAAAAAAAGTTCAACAAGCAAGTCAATCAACAAAAGCTAGTGGAGATACATTAGGAAATATAAGTCAAGATCAATTAAAACTTATTTCAAAAATTATTCAAATTATTTATGTTTTATTAGCAGCATTAACTATTCTCTGGGAATTTATGCTTCTATCAACAGCTTTATATTATCATCATACGTTTCATAAATTAGCAGCTGCCTTTGTTGCTGTATTTTTTTGGTATATTACTTATTATGTATGGTATCGTCCAAATAGCACATCAATCTTATATCCATCATCACCCAAAGAGTGAAATTACTAAAACTATATGCGTTTGTGTATTAGATACTATGTTTTCGTGTGTGTTTCGGTGATCAGATCAATGTGTGCACTTTCTTATTCTTGTCTTTATTCAAGCGTATATAAACTAGAAAAAAAACAAAAATAAATGTTCATTTTTATAAATATTCTATCTCATTTAGAAAATTCGAAATTGAAAACATAATATGTCCAACCTGACATGACTCAAGGTTCTCATATGATTCAATATAGAATTGTATAATATACAAGTATAATATTAATACTACAAATTCTAATTCGATATTTTCTTGTAATAATTTGAGAAGCTTCTTTACTTAATCAAAATTTATTTTCTATGTATTCAAAGCGCTAGTTGTCATATAGGAAAAAAAACAACAAACTTATATTTTTGTTTTGTATCGTAACGACATCTTCCTTGGATAGTATCCATTGATTTAAATCTATATCCAATTTAATATTTGAAAAGAACATCATCATTTTTCATTTTCTTATTATATTTGCTCTAGATGTCCTTACTACAATAATAAATATAAAATATTTAATTTAGATGAGTAGCATTAGTCCATCGTGTCAAAATTTAAAAGATGAATATGATGCATGTTTTAATTCATGGTTTACAGATCATTATTTAAAAGGTGATACAACAACGGATATGTGTACAAATTTATTTAAAAAATATCAAGCTTGTATTAAAGTAATAAAAACAAAAAAGGAAAAGGAAATAAATTATTTTAAATATTTTTATTTCAATAGGAAGCAGTTAAAGAACATAAAATAACATTATGGGAACTTGAAAATGAATCAATACCAAAAAAGACTTAATTTCTTTTTTTGTCATTCCATATTTGTTTGTTTTTTATTCTAGATCGTCACTTAAACTTTTTTTAATATTGAATGCTTATTAAAAATCATGACTGATAATATGCAACGATCATCATCGCGTACGATATATAATAGTGATGCAATTGATTGTATTGTTAATACAAATGATCTTGCATTGGAACATGATACAATGAATCAAGAATTTGAACAAAAAAGGTTTTTGTCAATAGATTGAATTTCTTTGTAAACAAGAAAATGTTGTTATTATTTAGAGCATCAAGTGATTCACGACGTCATCAAACATCCAAACGTATCAATGGACATTCAACTGATCGATCAAGTCGTCATTCTCCACCATTAGTTACACATAAACGTCCGTCAAGTCCTTCAACTAATTCACTATCAACATCACGTTCTCAACATAATTATTATGTATCTCAGAAATATCAAGAAGTTTCAAGATCACCATCACCAACGTCTCGACATCATCGATCCAGTCGAGTTGCTGCTTCAGTAAAACGTCCACATTCTGATTCTCGATCACCACATGAACGACGTCCAACAACACATCGTACTTATCCAACATCGTCACGTAAACGTACTAATGATATTGATGAATTTCAATCCACTCCATCAGTAAGAAAACAAACCGGATCTACAAAAACACATCGAAAACAAGAACTAGGTGATTTAAGTATCGTATCCGAAGATGAATTAACAAAACCACATGATAATCAAGTAAAATAATAGATATTAAAATTCCTTTTTTTTATAATAACATTTCTATACAGTCAAATAATTCCACAACCAATGAATTATCATCATCAACAACGTAAATAAATCTATTATTAATTAAAATCAATTTCTATTCTTTGTTATTTTAGTAATAAACTTCATTCAACTCCATCTGTTCCTATACTTCAGCCAACTTCAAACGAAAGTCTTTTAGAAATGAGTACCATTCCTCAAGATTGTGAAATATCACTTTTTGCTAAATCAGCTCTTTCAATTACAAATACAAGTTCAATTTCAACAACACCAATCATTCCCGGAAATGATTTTATGCAAATTATTGATCTTATGAGTAGATATAAAATGATGCAAGCCATACCATCTACTAATAAAGAGATCGAAGTTTGTTCCAAGTAAATATATATCCATATATAAATTATTTTATTTCGGTTTTTTTCTAATCTATTAAATATGAATATAACTAACTTAGGGAAATCTTTGTACTTATACAAAAACAAATTGAATTACAAAAAAAAGAACTTGATTATCGTGAAAGAGAAATGAAATTACGTGAACGTGAACTTATTGAACGTGAAAAATGTTTTAATGAAAAATTGAATGGTCAAAAAAATTTAATTTCAAATACTAATGAACCTATTGTTACTTTTAAACCAACAATTATTGAAGAAAAATCATCACAACAAGAATTTAAAATCACAATTGATCAAAATACGAAAAATGTATGTGAAATTCATTTTCTATTAATGATTTATTAATAGAAATAGAATATTATAAGATAATTATTAATCTATCTTTGACATTGATGATATTCATGTAATATGAAATTTGAAAATTATATTTATCTTTAAAGGTAATGCAAGAAAAAACTGTTGAACAATCAATTCCAACGACTGTTGATACGTCGAAAATTGATTTAGGAAATAAAAATACTTCGAATCAATCATCATCATCAATTCGTAAGAATCATGGAAAATCACGTTTTTCACAAATTATTGATGAACCATCAATTTCTACTTTACAAAAACAACCAATAATTGATCCATATAGTGATATTGATATAGATAATCAATCATGTTCATCTATAAATTCAACAAATTCTTTAAAAAAAGTTCTTTCAAACATTTTAGCATCTAGTGAATCAACAAAATCTATCATGGATGGTGATTTAAAAGTAACATCAACAAATTCATGTCGTAAAGTTGAAATTCAAAGTGACAATATTCATCCAACAATAACAATAAGTAAAGAACCACCACAGGATTTACGTTTAACTTTAAGTAAAAATCGAACAAAACATCAAAACAATGATGATAACAACACACATGATCAAGTAATCAATCGTGATGAACAAATTGTAACAATGTCAGCAATCAATGAAGACAAACAACAAAGGTAGACCGTGTTTAAAAATAAATTCTTCTCACATAAACGGTTATGTGTGAATGATATTTAAAAAAAAATAAGAATGGGCTTGAAACAAATCAATATGCGTTCGTCCATTTTGCAGCCATGATTACCCGCAACAAAGAAGTGTCACATCGGCATCGATTGGGACAATCATCGACGAATCCAATGACAAACGAGATGATCATCGTCATCATCATCATCATCAACAGCAACGATCCAACAGCAGTCGACAACAGCAATATCCAGGTGACAATTATTCAGCATCAACAAATGAACGATCTTATTATAATAGTATAGTTTCTCGAATAATTATACAATTATTTATTTCTTCTTTTTCTCTTTAGGATCAACATCACAACAATCAGCAAAACATGAACCAAATCAAAAGGTAAGTGTATTTAGAATCCTTTGTTATTCCACTATAACACATATTCAACTAATAAAAAAATGCTTTCAATTCTGCACATAAAGTAAATTTCAATGAGGTATGACAAACCTTTAAAACGTGACATATTTCCAATTACCATCATTTGTATTACAACTATTTAGTTAAATTTGCGCTTTTATGTTTGTCATATCTCACTGAAACTGATCTATTGACAATACTCTTTCTTTACTCTATTTCTACATAATAAAAATTAATGTCGAATAGAAAAGTAAACAGATATGAGATAAACATTCTATTTTATCTTTGTTCTTCTCTTCTGTTATACATTGATTGATTCATTTGATATAATCAAACTTACACTTGAATAATAATAAACATCTTGATTTTATATGATTGTCTTATCAGTCAATGAATACAAAACAAAAAGAACAATAGATATAGATAGCAACAATATTTTATGAATATCTATTTATATCATTGTCTGTTGTTCTTTTATTTTGAATTAGATTTCGTTATTATTATTATATACATTTTCTTTCAGCGCCATGAAACTGATGATCTTCGTATTCATATACATGAACAGAAATATCCTAAACCATCACGTAAGTCAATAATATTCTATTTCCTTTTTTTATTTTCTTTATTTTAGGATCAACATATAAAAACTAACTATGAACTTTAGTTCCGAACGTCTTTTGCTTTTCTTCATTTCGTATCACATTTATTTGATAAATACGTAATTTCTTGTTTTCTTTTTCTCCTTCATTTCATTTCTTATTCAAGAGAAAGCTTCTTGTATTTGTGTTTGATAATCTGTTTTTCTTCTTCTTTATTTCATCAAACGTGATTGTGGTCATCATATATATATACATATTACATATTTGCTAAACATGAGCGTATCTTCACCTCTTTTTTGTATGTGTGTTTTTGTTTTGTATATCGGAAGTGCAAAACTTGAATATACTTTACTAATAAAACAAATAAATAAGATAATTTAATCATGTTTTCTTTTTCAATAAGTTTATTGTAGATTATGCCGTTATCCGATGAAGATTTTCAACGATTCCAAAATGAATTGCTTAGACTTAGAACAGAAAAATATCAATTGGAAGAACAGACTAAAAGATTAACTACAGGTAAATTAAACAGATGTTCTCTTTAATATATCGATCGACAATGAATAGTTTTATCTAAAACGCAGGATGTACAACAAAGTTTCATAAGAAATTGTTAGAATAAATAGACTTGATCAGATTATATCTTTACTATAGACGTTATGAGTTTTGACATTGTTTACAGGTAAACATGTGTTGAGAACGAGAATGAACTAATTAGATGCAAAATCTTTTACTTTAGAAGAGTAAACAATAGATTGCAATCGATCTTTCAGATATACAAACAAAGAGAAGTATGAATTGCCCTACTAATTTTATTTATTTTGCTTCGGTATAAATGACTTAATAGCTGATTGCATATTCTTTGCTTTTAAAAGATTTTATTTATTTCGATTGAATATGAAATTTTCTCTATGATCAATTGTTAAAAAATATTTTTATTATGACAAAAACTAACCTATTGATTTCAATTTGAAATATATAGAATTAAGATTATGAGAAAAAAATCTAAGTATGTACAAATCTTGACATTTGACAAAATGTATATTAAGATATTTAAACCTTCCCGGTCGGATGTTGTCAAATGCCCCAGCGGAGTACGGCATTTTCTGAATAGTCAACCAGAAAGAGTCAAAATATTTTCAGGAAGCCTAATAGAAAAGAATTTCATTCACACTTAACTGTTTTGAGGTATTGGGTAGGTCTAATAATCATCTTTGCATACGATTGAATATCGCTGTAATCAACAATAGTCATACTAAATTAACAAGTTACATTAATAAATGAATTTTCGAACTCGAAGTCCTTTACGTAGAATAATAAAAGAACTTATCGCTAATTTTGAAGTTCTATGAATCTTTTTGAATTTTGATAAATCTAAGCATATTTTTGTATTTTAGAAAATGTTCAATTAAAAAGTCAAATTGAAACTTATGAAAAAGATAGTATCCGTTTACCAACAAAAATGGTATAGTTTTTTATTTCAATTAAATAAATGTTTATCATCATATATATTTTTTAGTTACCATTTAAAATTATGCGTAATTCTTCACGAGATGTTGATGATGTTCAACGTAAAAATGATGCACTTACACAAAAAGTACATACACAAGAAGAAGAATTTCGATTACAAAATGAAACAATGATGCATGAATTAAATGAAGTAAATAAATGAAAAAAGATTTTATTTGAGAAAATTTAAATTTCTACTAAAGATTTAGCAATTAAAGGTGATGATCGCATTTGAAGACGATAGTGATAATAAAGCATATAAACAAAAAATAGAATTAATATAATGAGAATAATTACTAGAAATATAAATGTTAATTTTAATAAAATTACATTTGTTTGTGGTCGAGGTATTGATGCAAATATTTGTCGATAAGTTTCGTCAAATGATAGATAATGATGATAAGGTATAAAATTTGTTGGTAATGTAACATTTGTATAATTTGTTAAACTATAATTTTCTGTTGTTGGATCTGTTTGATCAATCGATAATTCTAAGTTAAGATCATCAATATTTGTATCAATAGATTTTGATCTAAATAAAATAAAATAGAATTATTTTAAGAATAGTTAGGTTTTGTATTACGTTGTATAAAAATGACATTTAGCATCTTGAATAAAAAGTGTATTGGATCGAATTGAATCACAATTTTTCTCGTCAATAAATGTTTTCCATAATGAATTATCTTTAAGAGTAAATTCACATTGATTTGTTTGATTGACATTTTTTATTTCGACATTTATTTCAATTTGTTGATTTAATAATGTATGATCAATATTTTCAAATGGAATATAAAATGCATTGATTAGAATAGAATGATTTGTAAAATGATTTAATTCACTTTTTGATGTATTTATTTGTATTTTATTATTTAAATGAATTATTATTTCAATATCATTGCTATTAATTAATGAGAATAATATATTATATTGATAGAGATCAATTATAAGCCATATTAAACGTGATCGTAAACGACAGAAAAATGTGAAATCAATTTCAATTGGTAAGATTTCGATTGTGTATGATGGAAGTGGACATTCATATGATATTAATGGTTGATCATTTGATGGAGCATCGGATATTCTTGTAATATTGTTTGGACAATGAAAATACCATTTAGTACGATGATTAATAACACCGAAATGGAATTGATCATTTGCATAGGTTGAAAGAAAAATATCGAAAAACGTTAGAAATAATATTAGATTCGAATTCATTGAAGAAAATTGTTTAATTTCATTCGATTGTCAGATTGAAATTTATTACAACTAATGAATGAAAAAAAATATATATATATTATTTACCATAAAGACTTTTTCAAAAGAATCGATCGTGACTTAGAGAAAAAGTTTTTTTTTCGTTTACGATAGTCAATCACTCTGTCTTCCTCTTCAGGTATTTAAATCATTATGATAGAGATTGATCCTCACAATCTCTTCTTTAACTATGTCCCTGAACATTATCGTGACATATCATATATCTAATGATTTTCTCAAGGGCAACTCAAGTTGGTTAATTTTGATTGACAGAAATTATTATAAAAAAAAAATCTGTTTTTCTTAAAAAATATTATTTGTAGAATAGATAATACTCGATAATTATTTAATATATATGACATAGTTAATTAGTAATGTCAAAGATATAGATATACGAATATGTTCTAAAGATACAATTATTTAGTGTTAAACAGTTCATTTATACCTTATAGAAATATAATTTTACTTACATGAATATATAATCTGTTTTCCTGTTGGAATGTTCGTATGAATATAGAAAGAAAAATCTATTAAGAAATTAGTAAAGTAAATACAATGGATTTTTTATATGTATTTTAGTATGTAAACAAAGTAGAACAACTTGAAAATGAACTTAAACTACATAAAGAAGGTCGTTATACAAATCTAAATAATTCTCATGATGGTACAGATACAATCAATGTAATTAATGAAGAAAATCGACGTTTAAAAGCAGAAAATAATGTTTTACAAAAGAAACTATCAGGTAAAAATAAAACGAAAAAAATTAATTTCGTATTTTATTAATTCTACATATATTTTTTAAAGAATTATCAGCGAAAACTGTGGAATCAATATCTACAGCAAGTTCCAGCAATGAATCATTCCAAAAAGAAGATGTAGAAGTCGAATGTGATGATAATCGGTATTTATCTTATCTTCTTCTTTTATTTTTCACTTGGAACTATAGCTATTACATTAATGATAATGTGCTACATGATAGGACACACGTCTATCCTCTTCCTTGCTTTCTTTTCATATGGTAACATACTTTACATCAAGGCTTCTATCAAATAGATGTATAACATATATAAACATTGATTATTTTCAACTAAATATATATGTGAATACTAACGTAACATGGAAAAGAATTGGAAGAATCTTCACGCTTCTTTCTTTCTTTTTTATTTATAATTGTTGTTCTTTGAGCGTGTGAATGGTTATGTTTCGGTTGGTTTAGTATGTAACTAATCAAGGAACTAGTCTGTCTATTGTATACGAGAATATTCTAATAGAAATTTTTCATTAAGTTCTGTGATTAATAGTCATTGAAAGGATTGTACATAGTTTTAACAAAAAAAGGAAACTCTTAATAAGAGAACGTTTTTGTGACATATATTTCTATTACAATAATCTAATTTCGTTATAGACTTATATTTACATCTGTCAGAAACTATTTTCTATATATGTATAATCGTTCGATACCTCCCTTTCGATTATACTCGTTTTTCTCAAATCTTAGTCATGGACGAACTATATTCTCGATTATGAAAAGCAAATGAGTACAATGTATTGAGTTTGATCAGGCTTCGAAAATTTATAACGAAAAAAAAAACAATGTCTCGAATAATGACTATCCATTACAAAAATAATACAGAAGACTTCATTAAGAAGTTGTATATGTATTTATAATGATACATTGTTATCAGAATCAAAATCTAGCTTACTATCATTGTTTAAGATAAAGAACATCTGTTTTTTATCATTGTTGTCTAACTATAACCTAAATACGAACAATGTCAATAGTCGCTTTTCATCGTTATTACAGACATCTCTTCTTTACAAGTTATACATCTTATTATGTCCGAACTTATTTTTAATGAATTTCTAAATGCTAGGAAGACTCGATGTGTTCTATAAAAACGCGAGAAAGAATTCTTTTTGTCAGAATATAATATTTTTTTCTACCTGAATTTGGTTAGAAGGTCGCTATTACGGAAAGTAATCGTAATAATAAAGGATGCAGTTCATTATTACATAATACTGATTTGTATCTATTATAAATTGAGTGAGCAAGAATTAACATAATTTTAAACACCATAGAATAATACTAATGGTCCTATGTCATTATAAAGATAATTATACATGTTATTTTTAGTAGTAAAGATACCACATAATTATAATTAGTTTTAGAATGTACTGCTAAAAAACATTGCGAGTATGATTTCAATATTGAATTTCTTCGAGAATTAAATCTGGAAAGTAGTATGTTAAAATGTCATACCGCGAAGTTAGATATTAACTTTGAAAGATATATTTATATAAAAAGGGATTAATCTAATTGTATTTTACAACAATATAAACAATATTTAACTATTTGAATAACTTGTGCAAATAAATTCAAATATTTACTTATTATTAATACGTGCTCTTAATTGTGTTCGATATAGAAATGACGGACATGTTACAACTAATTTGTCTAACTTTAAAATGAATGGTAGTAGTGATGTAGTTTCCTTCCTTTTTTAATGCTACTTCTTTGTTTGAAGAAAAAAAAAGGACTATTGTTAATAAGTAAGTATGAATCAATCATACAATGGACAATACATTGACAGGAAAGGTTAAATAATGTGAACAAGAAGGTGTATAAACATAGATCGAATGAATAATAAAATACAATTCTTTTACGATAAAAAATTTCTTTTTGAAATATAAAGAACTATCAATCAAGAATATTCTTAGATTAAAAGTAAGAATAATGAAATGAAATAGAAGTTAATCTAATCCGACAATTTAAATTAATCATTTAATTGAACAATATAGTTTCTAAAGAACAGTTATGTTCTATAATTATCCTATAAAATAAAAAAACAAATAGTTCTTTGACATGATAATTTTTATTGCATAATTTGCAAATGTATATTTGACCGTTACGTAATAGATATATGTATTTTATATCATTCTTGGGAATTATATGTAATAAAAATTGTCTAGTGTTGTGCATTCATTTTTCACATTATTTAAGGTGCACGTAATTCAAAAATCGAGTAAATTTTTTTTCTTCGATATTTTTACGTAGTTTGATAGAGCTCGTCGAGCTCTACAAAACTGTATATTTAAAAAAAATTCTAAGTCAATTTTTTGGGGTAAAAAAATCGAAAAAACATGAAAAAAAATGTGAAAAAAGTCCTTTTTTTATACAGAAAAAAATAATCGATTTTTTCAATAAATTGAGCATTTCTCTTATAATATTGGTAGCTAAGAAGTCTGAAAATATGCCCATTCGACGCAGCTTGAAAAACTGCATCTAATGGCATATATTTTAGAGTTCTCACATGTGATTTTATTGGGATTTATTGGGATCTAAAGAGCGCAGTCTGTCATAAAAGTCGGGTGAGCGTCGCCAAAAGTGCTTCAACGATCGATTGGCTTGCTCAATTCCTTACAATTTTATGTCATTCTACTCGTCATATGATGGGCAACAAATTTACGGATCCGTTTAATTTTATTTCTTTGCATTGTTGAGAAAATTCATTTTTGCTGCACTATAACATGAAAAATTAGGTCGTATTTTGATTTTTTGACTAGAAAAAGTTCAGTTTCACGTAAAAAGAACCCGATATTCAGAATCAGCATAAAAAACTGCATCAAACAAGTTATATTTCATCAAAAAATATTTTTCGACAATTTCGACCTGTAGGGGACCGCAGGCAAAAATTAACTAAAATATAGCTGAGGGGGAGTGGGGGTCGAAATTGTCGAAAAATATTTTTTGATGAAATATAACTTGTTTGATGCAGTTTTTTATGCTGATTCTGAATATCGGGTTCTTTTTACGTGAAACTGAACTTTTTCTAGTCAAAAAATCAAAATACGACCTAATTTTTCATGTTATAGTGCAGCAAAAATGAATTTTCTCAACAATGCAAAGAAATAAAATTAAACGGATCCGTAAATTTGTTGCCCATCATATGACGAGTAGAATGACATAAAATTGTAAGGAATTGAGCAAGCCAATCGATCGTTGATGCACTTTTGGCGACGCTCACCCGACTTTTTTGACAGACTGCGCTCTTTAGATCCCAATAAATCCCAATAAAATCACATGTGAGAACTCTAAAATATATGCCATTAGATGCAGTTTTTCAAGCTGCGTCGAATGGGCATATTTTCAGACTTCTTAGCTACCAATATTATAAGAGAAATGCTCAATTTATTGAAAAAATCGATTATTTTTTTCTGTATAAAAAAAGGACTTTTTTCACATTTTTTTTCATGTTTTTTCGATTTTTTTACCCCAAAAAATTGACTTAGAATTTTTTTTAAATATACAGTTTTGTAGAGCTCGACGAGCTCTATCAAACTACGTAAAAATATCGAAGAAAAAAAATTTACTCGATTTTTGAATTACGTGCACCTTACTTAATACGAAAATATTTATTATCGGATAGGATTAAATAGTTGTTTAGAAATAATAAGAATATTCAATATATCTTTAGGGAAATAAGAATCCACATGATATTCCTATTTTCGATAAATAAAAAAGATTTCCTTTGTTTTAGTAGCGAAGGTGGTCTAGTGCATATTGTTACAACCAAAACAACAAATGGTGAAGCAAAATTATTCGATAGTAAATATTTTTCTATTGAAATTTTCTATGTATTATTGTTTTTATTTTAGATAATAGTATTCGTTTTGAAACTGAACAAGAAGAAAAACGTCTTCTTCGAGAACAATATCGTCAATTAGAAATATCATCGAATGAAACTAATGCAAAACTTTCTAAACAAATTGAAATTGTAAAATAATATTATTTTTCATAAGTTAAAATCTTATTTAGTAAAATTTTTTAGTTAGAAGAAAAACTTGATGAAAAACAAAAATCATTTTTACAATCACAATACGATTCCGAAAAACGTATTCAAGAAATTATGTAAGAAGAAAAAAAAATATATATATGAAATAAATTCTTATTCTTATTTTAGTACTGAGAATAATAGTATGAAACAAACACATGAAGTACAAATTGATGTCTTAAAATCAGATATAAAACGATTACAAGATGAAATTCAAACAAGTCAAAAAGTAAAATAACGAATCTAATCTTTTTACTGAGATTGTTTCGGAAGGGTCAGTGATTTATATCCAAATTGCATAAGGAGAGAGAAGCCGAAAAACTTGAAACTTACGTGAGTTTCATAAAATGAATTCTTTTTGTTTTAGGCTAAAGATGATGAAATAAGTAAATATCAAAAACGTTTAAATGAATTACAAATAACTGTTGATCAATTAGAATCACAGGTTAGTGTTAAAAAAAACTTCTGTTTTTGCTATTTGCTTGCTTATACTTACTGCTTTTAATAAAGATTGGCACAGTTGCTGCTGAACAAAATCAGCAATTACGCACTACTAATGCTGAACACCAACGAATTCTTGAAGATAAAGAATTGCTACTTAGTCAAACACTTGTTGATCGTGATTTATTACGCACTGAAACTGAGGTGTGAAATAATTCGAAAAAAAATTTCAAATTATTTTCTTTTTTTTCTTCTTATTTAGCAATCGAAAGAAGCTTATGAAACATTATTACAAACTGTTCAAATACTTGAACAACAAGTAACAACAAAAACACGTGAATGTGAATCTCAACAACGAGTAAGAGATTGTTTTCTTTTGTTATGATTGTTAAATAAATATGAAATTTGATATTGTATAGATGGCTGAACAACGTAAAACTATGATTGATGAAATGGCTGCTAATCATTTACAAATCGAAGAAAAATCAAAATTAGCTTTACAAAGTCAAAAAGATAAATATCAATCAGAAGTTGAAAAATTCGAAAAAGAAATTAATGATTTAAAGGTATATTTCGTTGAATAATAACAGATATATTAGTATTTATCTCTTCAGTTGAGAGTCGATACACTTTCTCATCTTATTTTCATAAGCAAACTCTCTTGAAAAACAAAAATAGTTATGTATTCAAATCTAAAACATAGAATTATATAATAAAAAGCCTTATGCATTGTTCGATTTATGACTATACTTTTATTACAATTAAAACAAACGAAATTTTATTATAGCCAGCGATTTCTTTTTTCGGGTGTGCGAATCGAACTGCAGAGTGCGCGAAATGAAAATTCTAGGTGGGCGAATCGAAATTCCGAGTGGGCGCCGCCCACTTAGCCCACCCACTAGATAAAACACTGATTATAACTCCGAAAAAGTTTTACATTGCTTTTATTTTCTAATGATTTAGATCAAAGATCGAACATTAAAACAATTACAATATCGTTGTACAGAATTAGAAAATCGTCTTAAATCTGAAGAAGAACTTAAACAAGTTCTAACATTACGTGTAGAAGAATTACAAGTATATTTATTTTTCTGATTCATCTTATTTATTCGTAATGGTTTTGTTTAGACTGAAATCTATGAACTTAAAAATAGTTTAGAAACTCAATTAAATGAACAACAAATACAAAACGAACAACAATTAATTAATGAAAGACATGAACATCAAGAACATATTCAAGTAGAAATTATTTTTTTT